GGCGTAGCGGCGCGAGGACGCGGAGGAGCCCCTGCCGCTGCCCCCGGCGCAGAGCCCTCCGCCGCTGCGGTACGAAGCGCTCGACGTCCTCTTGATGCTGCAGCTCATGGTGACGCTGGAAGGTGCCGGGGCCCGAGGCGAAGCTGCTGCAGCGCTGGGTGCAGGAGAGGCGAGTGCGGCCCGTGTCTTTGCAGCTCCTCTTTATACCCTGCTGCTGGGTGTCACCCGAAGGCCCTGCAGCTTCCCATGAGCTTTGCCAGCCTTCCCGCTCATGCCAGAAGGGACGTGCTTGGGAAATTTTATCTTGGGTAAGCAATACCCATTACCATTCTCTGCAGGTATGTCTGTGCTGATTCACCCAAAGCACACATTATAATTTCGGGTGGGTGGCTCTTTGTTAGATATTTTGTTGGATAATACCATATCTCACAGGTTCTCCTATCCAGGCAATTTATCTCTAGTAAAAGGAGTTGGAGTTCTGCCTAGGTCATTTGTCTCCTTCCACCTTAATTTGGAAGAATTCTGTATTTCTCTTTTTTTGTCTTTAATTTGTTGTAATGGACAATAGTTTTTAAGTCCAGCAGCATCCAACTGGCTTTTTTAATTTACATGAGATATTTGAAATTCCACTTTCAGTTGCTGAAACATCCTAGTCATCCTAAAGGTGCCTTCCCATCTCTGTTATGGAAGAGCAGTTCACCCCATTGTCCTTATTCCATGATCACGGCCTCAGCTAGGGTCAGCTCCCTGTTGTAGATGTTTTTTTCTGAAAGTGCAGACTTGAGATTTTAATCATTTCTCTTGTTGGATAAAAGTGTGGTCAGCCACAGAAACACTTTGCAAGGGAAAGCACAGTAATTTTTTTCCCAGAAAATCCCAGCAAAATCAATGTTATTTTACGCATCTTAAAAGAATTTGGAGGAAAAGCGAGAGGAAACATTTAGTATTTCAGAATTTAATATTTCAGATTTCCTAGTAATAATAGCCATTGTCAGAGTAGGGTGTTGAATGACGTAATGCCATTTAAAAAAAAGTCAGTTTGATTGAAAGATATAGTATCAAAGATTAGATCTGAAAAAACATAATCATTAACTGAGCTCATTAGAGGGAATTGTGATGAGAGTTTCCTATCAGCGAGAGAACATCTGACACAAAACAGGCCAAAGACAGAGCTGTGGTTTTTTCCACTGCCTCTGCAGGATGGGCTGTTCGGGGAGAAGCGTTTCCCATCTGTTCTCAGCCCTCGGTGAACCCGACAGGAGCCTGGAGCAGCAGCTCCTGCTCCGCTCCCAGCTCCGCACCGATCCCGGCACCACCGCCGCCTCCGCGGGAGTCCCGGCCCGTGCGAAGGAAGCGCGAGGAGCTGGAGGAACCTCCTGTGGGTCACCTGCGCCAGCGCGCACGGAGGGGACATGGATTCAACCTGCAAGTACAGAAGGAAGAGATTCTGTCTTGCAGATGGAGAAATAATCTCCGGGAATGTGGCCGAAGAGGGAGAAGGGATCGGTGGCTGGCACGTGGCAGGGAGCATCAGAGGAGGGAGGAGAGAGGCTGGAATGAGGGAGCAGAGGGCCTGCGTGTGCCGCGTGCTTGGGAAGGAGCTTGGCCTGCAGGCCTGGACCACAGGGTCTTTTGGTTGTTTCAGGTTTGTTTATTTGTCTGTTTTTTTTCTTCTCTTTTTCATGCAATTCCCATAGACTCAGTCTTGTCAGGAAGATTTCGTGGAGCTGGAAGCACCCTTCCAGGCTGTTGCCACGAGAATATTTGCTGCGCTCTGTAGAGGTACCTCACTATTTGGGGGGTTAATATGCAGAAATAAAAGCTGCACACACTGAATCCCAGAGCTGGAGCTGGGCTGCCTGAAGATCCATCTGTGTCGGTCTTGGCAATGGTTTCCAAGGAACGTAGACGAGCTCTGACTCCAGCAGGAAAGGGACTTTGGGGTGCAGGAAATAGTCCTTAAAAGAGGCACAAAATTGTGAACTTAAAGCAGAATTGAATCATGGGAAATATCTACAAAATTCTGAGTTATTTTTGCCTTCTTTTATCAGCTAGCTTTAATTAGAAGCACCTTCCTCATGTCATGCATGATTTTGTAGTTGATTCTTGGTTCTTTATATGCTTGCAATTCTATCTATTATTAAACAGTAAACTCTGCTGATCAGAACGTGTTGAGTCACCCATATAAAGGAATTAAAGCTCTTTCCTCACTGGGTGCAAGTCCTTAGTCACACTTTCTTCATTAGGTTTATGAAATTCATCCTTATTGTTCTGTATGGGAAGGCTATTGCTCATTGCTTCAGTGTGTTACTGGTAATTTCGAATTTTGATGTCTCACAAAAGCCTAGTGTCTAATCCACAATTCTGAAAATTTGTGAGTAATCCAATTTCTAAACACTCGCTGCCTATTTCTTTTGCTGCAGTTTAAGTCCGTGCTCATTGCACATGTGGCTTCGGGGGGGGACATCTCCTGCATTTCATAATTCTCCATGCAGATTCCAGCTGTATCCCGCTTATCCAGACAGTCTCACCCTCCAGTTTCACAAGTTTCTCCTCACATTTGGTCAAGACAAGAAGGTTCTTTAAGGCTTTTAGTGTCCCGACCCATCCCAGGGGCTTCTCCTGAAACTCCTTCATTGCATTTCATCGGGTCTCTTCCGAGGCCCTCTCCGTAGCACCCGGCTTGGCTCCTGAGCCTCATCCTGTGGCACACAGTGCTCAGCGCACACCAGGGAGCAGGGCAAACAGCACCTCTCCAGCACGGGCTGTTCAGCACAGGCAGATGCACCTACAGCCGCCGCACTCCAGCTGTTCCCATTGCTCCGCCTGGTTTCCAGCTACTTGGAAATATTGCATGAGAGTGACGTGTGTTTCTGGAACTGGAATTTGCGTCTCTCTGTCCCCACCCTTGTGAGTCGACCTGTTTCGCCTCAATCCCTGGTGCTCCTTCCATGCAGGACGGGGTTTCTCTGACTTTCTCTGCCGCTAGAGGCCACCCCCTGAGCACGCAGCTCTGGATCCAAAGCTGGGCTTGTGACCTGCGCCCTTCCCTTCTGCAGCCCCCGGGTAATTTGGCCCCGTGGCTGCTCCTGGGCACCGCGATGCTCTTTGGAGCTCCTGCCTTGCTGGGTAGGTAGGTGGCTCCACCACAGAGCTCCCCTCTGGCCCTGCAGAGCAGACTGCGCGGGCACGCGCCGCTGCCGGGGACCGGGGACATGCCCTGCCTCTGCGGGGACATGTCTTGGCATGGCTTTGCGTTTGCATTTCGAGTGACTACACCACAGAATCAAAAACATTCCTAGGCACAGGTTTCTGGTTGCGTCAGACAGAAACAAAGTTTTATTGGAGACATCTTTGGGATACAGAATACCCATCAAATTGGTAGGATCTGTAAGCAGGAGATTCCAAGCTCAGTGCTGAACCCACGAAGCATTCCAGGCAGAGAAGCGCGTAGCGTGCGGGGCAGAGGGAAGGAGGCCCAGCTGAGTAGCTCTGGTGGGCCTGGTCTGGTTAGATGGCAACTGGGGCTCGCAGAAAGGATCAAAAGCTCCTGTTTCTCCTCAGGAACGTGGAGACTGCAGGGCAGTTGTGCGGATTTCAGTTTGAAGGGTCTGGTGCCGTAGGATTATCGGTTCTTAGTCAAAAGACTTTCTTCCATATCCTGTTTAGAGACAAACAATCCATTAATTTCACCAGTTTGGCACTAATCTCTGAGGCACCAGGTAAAACAGGATCCTGACCGTTTGATAGGTGATCACCAGCTATTCCTAAAGCATAAAGGAAAACTACTGTATAGAAATGGTATTTTTAGTTGTGTTCTGCAAAGAATTAGATGAAGAAAACCAGCTAGGGCTTTAGCTACATGATACGCTGATGTCCTCCATGGATCTTAAGAGGAGTTGGTCCTTTGTACACAGTTATGGATGATTTTGTGATACAAGCGAATTCACCACCAACAGGAAATGGTCGTTTATTCCCTGGACTGTTCTCAGATCAGTGAGTTAAGGTGGGATATAAATCAGTACGGTTGTGATGGACAGAATATTGTGTCCTGGTAACAGTTCTCACCTTGGTTTCCACCACCGCATGACTGGGAAGATGAAGAGTAGGAGTGGGAACTGCTGACGCCTCCGGAGATTCTTCCTCCGCCGCCTCCTCCACCAATGCTGCCGCTTCCCCCTCCTCCTCCTCCTCCAATGATGCCGCAGGATCCTCCCCCACTGCCTCCTCCTATTCCTCCTCCGCTGCTTCCTCCTCCCATTCCACCGCTGGAAGAACCGCTGCCTCCTCCAAATCCACTGCTGCCTCCTCCAAATCCACCGCTGCCTCCTCCAAATCCACCGCTGCCTCCTCTCCCTCCTCCAGAATAGCCGCCACCTCCTATTCTGCCTCCTCCCGTTCCTCCTCCTATTCCTCCTCCTGGGATGCTGCAAAGAAAGAAGGAGGGAGAGAAAAAAAACAGTCAGTCGGGTGCGTTTTTCATCTCAGAAGGAGACTTCTCTCCCGATATCCTGCACTTCTGCGCTGGGAATTAGCCCAGAGCAGCTATACAGCAGGTACTGTGCCAAAGATCAGGCACCCTCCTACTATCAGTTTGAACGTGCCCTGGAACCTCGAACGCTTTTGTGAAGGTCAGGAAAGCCGTGGTCATTTTTTTGCCCCCGGCCCTTTCCGAGGCTCTGTCTGGGTGTTCAGTTCCTGGCCTGGTTTCTTCAGAAGGAAGGCAGGGTTGTGTGTGGGCTTCCTCAGCCGCCCCAAAGGGCTGGCTCAGACCCTCGTGTTAATTTTCCCTCGCGTGATCTCTATTCTGAACAGCTTCTCAAGAAATTGCCAGTACCTCAGGCCTCAGAGGGGTGGATCAAGGTAGCCAAATTAGCCCGATTTCAACACAAAAGCTGTTTTGCAAATCTAACTGTTTGGGGCCGATCATGGCCTGGATCTGCTGCAGCTGCAGGTTGTAGCGGCGCTCGGTGTCCTCCAGGTTGGACTGCAGAGAGTCCACCTGAGAACGGCAAACAAAATGGGCTGGTTAGGGCAATGTGCCAAGTTTGATTCATCTGGGGGAAAAATCAGAGGTTTTTCTCACGCACAGAAAAAGAGAAGAGCTTCTTTGGGACCGCGGGTAACCAGCCCCCTTCTCCCTACGGATGGGGCGATTGCAGAAGCGGCCCCGTGTCCGTGCGTGGGTCGTCAGCCTGTGTGGCCCTGCTTACCATGCTGAGCTGCGACTGCAGCTCGATCTCCAGGCTCTGGTATTCCCGGCGCAGCTCAGAGACCTGCTGGTTGCTTGACTGAATCTCCTGGCCACTTGAGTGGACTTGTTGATTAACTTCTTCGATCTGAAAAAATGCACATGAAAAATTCATGTATTTGGTTAGAAATGAACAGTGTGGGGTTATGACAACAGCTCTGAGAAAGCCATGAATACAGCTGAGAAAGATGTAATGTGGACGGTCCGGGCACTCTTCCCACATGCCAATCCATTCCAAACCTCTTTGTAATTCACCTTATTACTGACACATGCTTTAACACAGCCTTAATACTCCAGTGCTAATCTGTTACAGTGGGCAACTAGAGCCAAGAGTGTAAAGTTTATGTACCTTAAACACTACATGAAAGGCAGCTTTTCCTGTACAAGGTGTGAACAGGGCAAGTCCTTTGTGAAGGATTTAGCAAGTTTTTGGTATTGTACTTTACCTTGGTTTCATACCAACTTTCCACCTCTCTGCGGTTGTTCTCAATAAGACGTTCATATTCAAAGCGCATTTCATTTAATTTTTCCATCAAATTAATGCCAGGAGTAGCATTGACCTCCACATTGACGTCCCCACCAGTTTGTGTTTGCAGTCCTCTCATTTCCTGCAAAAATCAACAAAAAAACACAGGTTCTCAAAACATAAAGGCAAGGAGAAACAACCTTGTTTGAAATAAAGGAAAAGAAATGGAAGGTGAATCTTCATGCATTCGTATTGCTCCTCAAAAGAGGTGTTATCTGTTCCTGCCATGGAAGGAAACATTCCCACCATTGCTGAGCTCAGCTTTGCAGTGAGCCAGGCAGCACATACTCCTTGAGCCTGATTTCTTTGCATTGGGGCCCTAAGTAATTCCATGCCATGTGCTCTTTGTGAAAATCCTTTGGGGTATTTTTCTTCTCAGTAGGAAATACTATCTCAGATAACATAAATTTTTTCTTTTGGCTTCTCCATATGTACTATTCAGTTTTCTTGCCATGACTTCAACAAGAAAATTGTACTTGGTAGTGAGAAATACTCACTTTGCTGCCCTAATTTTGCCTGCTGTTGACCTAGATTCTTTGTTATATCAGTTCCAGGCAGTGAGAGCTATGGAGACGTGCTACATATTTCTGCAAATCAAAGACGTATCGTCTCAAGTTGAAAGATCAAAGCCAGCAGCTAAAATATGGCTATTCCTAATGGAAGAAATCTACAGGAAATTCTCTAAGTGCTGACTTTTCAGTAGTTATTATTTTAAGGTGTGGGGGACTTACCTCCTCATGGTTCTTCTTAAGATAGATCAGTTCCTCTTTTAGGGATTCATACTGTGTCTCCAGGTCGGATCTTGCTAGAGTCAGTTGGTCCAAAAGTGGACGTAATCCATTAATATCACTTGCCACACTCTGGTGGAGACTGTACTCAGTTTCATACCTAAATCACAGACAAGAAAGTTAGTCAAACTTCTACCAGACTCTGCTACCTCATGAACAGTTCCAATCAGTACGTCTTTGGCCCCATTGCTCTTTCATGGATCCATCTCCAACAGTTTGATTTGATTTTAGTGGAATCTCCCTATGGGATCGATTTGATGAGGATTACATTTATGAAGCCACAAGCAAAGATGGAGAAACTTAGACTGGAGTCTTTTAAATGACACTCTTTAATAATTTGGCCCAAAACAATAATGAGAAACCAACCGAAACTAGTCTTTCTTTTTCCAACACTATCTGTACTGTGGTTGGAGTCAAAACACTGTAGTGTCTGGAAAGATTGATTGGGAATATGAGTTCATGGGGGTAGGGTGAAGGAGGATGACTTGAGACCCAAGGGAAGACTCACTTCAGTCTGAAGTCATCCACAGTCATCCTGGTGTTGTCAACGTCGAGAAGGATCTTATGAAGGTCCACGCTCGCATTAACAATCTGCAGGGGAGAGGACAGAAGACATTTGATCAGACACCATTTCAATCTGGCACAGGAAGAGGGAAGAAATGTCCGTGCGGATGCGCAGTGCAGCGTGTCCCTGCGGGGATGTGAGGCCTGAGTAGCGCTGTGGAGAGAGAAGAGCGTTATCTATTCAAAATATAACACCTTGTTGGAAAAAAATAATTAAACTCCTCATTCTCCCCAGACAGTGGGAACATTATAACCATTGCAGTATTCATCGAAGAGATTTGAGACTCTTCAGACTGTGTTAGACTGGATGCTACGGCCTACAGATTGTCTCATCCTGTATGTTCACCATGAGATGGAATTCATGGATGGCCTTTCTGGCACAACATAAGGAAGGAACAGTCAGATCTCCCACTCAAGCGAGTGAGGAGCAAATAAACCACAAGGCCGTGGGGTTAAGGGAGGCCCCGAGCAGTCCCCGCTGTGGAGGCACGAGGAAGGACCTGCCCATGCAGCCAGATCGGCCCAAAGAGGGATCTTATGCTGGACGAGGCCAGGTGTTTCTCATGCTAATCTGCCCAGATTTAGTCTAATGGCATCATACCTGGTTTTGCAGGTCATCAATTGTTCGGTAATACTGGCTGTAGTCCTTGGAACCAGTGGGCCCTTGCTTCTGGTACCACTCTCTGATGAGCCGCTCAAATTGAACATTTTCTTCTTCCAGTCTCCGCACTTTATCCATGTAGGTAGCCAGGCGGTCGTTGAGGTTCTGCATGGTCAGCTTCTCGTTGGTGGAGAGCAAGCTGCCATCTTCACCAAATCCTCCGTAGCCACCACCGCCAAAGCCGCTGCTGCCCCCAAAGCCACTAAACCCACCTCCACTGTAGCTGCCACCACCAAAGCCACCTCCACCAAAGCTGCTTCCGTAACCACCTCCCATTCCTCCGAAGCCACCTCCGCCGGATCCAAAGCCTCCTCCCATGCTCCCACAGCCCATTCCTCCTCCTCCAAAACTGCCACCGCTCATCCTCCCGCCATAGCTACTGCGGCTAATCCTTCCGCAACTCCCACTGCTAAATCCCCCTCCGTAGCTTCTCCCGGATCCTCCTCCACCAAAGCTTCTCCCGGAAAAGCCTCCGCCTCCCCCGGAGGAGGTGTACCTCCTGCTGGACACCGAGGAGTACCCGCCAGACCTACGGGCTCCCCCGCTGCCGCTGCCACCGCCGCCGCTACCGCAGCCACCGCCGCCACCACCGCCACCGCCACTGCTTCTAGTGACGCTACTGGAAGACTTGGTGCCACAGCTCATGGTGGCAGCAGCAGGAGTGGAGTCTCGATCCCAACTTTAGGTGCGCAGCCTGATGCGACTCAGGACTGTAAATTTCCCTCCCCAGCTCTCTCTACTTATACTTTTGACAGTGGGTGTCACCACCGGGTGTTTCCTTCTCCCAGGGCATTTGCCAACTTTGTTGTTTGTGCCAAGAATAATTTGCTGAACAATATTTTTGTGCTGGTATCTCAAGCAATCTGTCCCATTGATGGGTAAATACTGTTTGTTTAGGAAAACGCTGCTTATTTCTTTTGGTGGCACTTTATCCATTTAGCTTTTTTCTGGGATAGGGATTTTTTTGCTTTATGTGGCTTCATCTGCTTTACTAGAGAAAAACCACTTTATCCAGCCAGGGTCCTGCTGCAGCTAATGCTGAGGTTAGTGGAAAATAAATAGTATAGAGAAAATTTTTATTCTCAAGTTTTTGCTAAATGGCAGAAAGGGATTCCTAAATATTCCAGGTTTAGATTGCACATTTATCTTTTAATTTAATCCTCTGCTTTCTCCGCTCGCATTTTTGTAGATGCTGTTTTATCAAACACTATGTTTTTACTCTCTCTAGACACCAAAGATTTTTTGCAGTGCTTATATTCTTTTTCTTCCTATATAGAAAATGCTATGACTTTTATTAATGAGATTGCATAGCTTGTCTATTTAGCCTGTGCAACCTGTATACCCCTGTTGTAACTGAGAGAATGTATGTATTTATATCAGAAATCTCTTCTGGGATTCTTATGTTAAAAATCAAAGGCCTTCTTTGTGATAGACCAGCCTACAAAACAGCCAAGTCCTAGTCTTCAAAGAGGAAATAAAAGTATTGTTTTCACCAAAGAGCTCTGAATCTAAAATCATAGGACTGCTTCTAATTAGCATGGAAAGTCAATTGGAGCACAATTAGAGTTGTATTAACCCAAGCAGTGACCTATGGACCGCTATGGGGGAAGGTGCTTTGTGGTTTCATGTAAAACTGCTCATCCTCTCGCTTGTTGCTGTGTCACGTATTGCAGGTCAGAGTCACTCTGCAAACTCCTCATGGTACCGGCGCTAAACGAGGATCCCAGGAGCACACGGGAACACTCTGCACGGAGCGGGGGGAATTGCACTGCTGAGACCTCAGCAAAACCAGGGCTCGGGTCCTGAAAGAACTGAGCTAGGGAAGGCTTGTTATTGATTTTCCCCTCTAATGGCACTGAAGGAGAGTACCTGAGAGCTGCAGTGTTTCTGAAAAAGCCGTAAGAAAATTCTGAGCTGGGGCAAACTGTGCTAACGAGCAGCCTTCGGTTTGCAGTGATGAACGCCTACAGAAAACATTTCTGACACTGTTGTTTCTTCTTTGTTGGTGGTGAAAACTAAATATTTTGGTTCAAGGCCAGAATTTAGTTTGTGTAGCCTTCCCAGTTCTCAAGCTACATCCTTCCATGCGAGCCGTGGCCGAGCGTTCCCGTAAGCAGCATCCCTGCAGGATCGTCCACGGGCTCTCGGGTCTCGCGGCAGCGGTTCTGGAAGCCGCGGCCCTCTCGCTGTTGCCGTTTGGTTGGAGCAGGTTGCCCTGTTGGCTCCTGGCAGTTTTGCTGCATGTTTCTGACGTGTCCTTGTTGCCATCCTGTCCTTATCCCGGCATCTCCAAAGCCGACATTCTGCGGATGGCAGAGCATCCAGCCCTTGCTTTCCAGCAGCCTCCTTGGTTTGGAAGTTGACTTTACATCGCTGTTGCTTCCTGCAGTCAGTGACATCTCTTGCAAACTGCATTCCCGAATCCTAACGTTTTCACTTTAAATCCTGCATTATTTAACATTTTCTGGTTGAGCCCATTGCCCTGGCCTCTGAAGCTGTGCTTTTGCCAGCGTTGCTCTATTGCTGCTTGAGCAATCGCTTTCAAAAGCGCTCTGATTTTATCTTGCTGTTTGACATTTGGCGCAAAAGTGACGAAAGATTTCAAGCAGTTTGATGATGGGATCATTTGGCCCCGCTTCGCAGCGGGAGGAAGGCAGTATCACTTCAGCAGCGTAAACACAGGTTTGGCCCTTTGCTGCATTATCTTATTGGAGCTGAAAGATGTAGCCAACTGCAAGCAACACATCTTTGGGTTTATGCTGTTTCCCCTCAGTGTCTGGAATGGGGCTTTGCTCATGGGGCCTTTTTTGACCGATTCCAGATCGCTGTGTTGAGCTGCCCATCACGGATCACGGTGAGCCGCCCTCCGAGTGCTCTGCACAAACTACAAGGATTGAGTGATAAGGAACAAAAACCTCCAGGATTCTTGCAACAAGAGGAAAAATGTTTGCCCGAAGAGCCTCTTAACCTGCTTATGCACTTTGTGAACATCTACGTTGTTCCCTCTTTTATTTTCAGGCTGCCTGCAGTACAGGGAGCTGCTCATAGCAGGGACTTGTCTGTTTTGGAAAGCCCTCCGGATAAGGGCTTATCTCACTGCATGCTTAGAAAGTACTTAAATAGCAAAAGCAATTAAAGCAAGTCAAGCTGTTGAAGAAGGAGAGCTTTAGATAATCTCAAAAATTCTTTGTAATTCTGTATTATTACCACGACTCGTATATAAAGGAGGAACTCCAGTAAAAGATGCTGCTTTTAGACCTTTGGTGGCATTTACATGCTGTGCTCTTAGGATGTTCTTTTTTTAACTTCAGTGCTGCTATTGCTTCATTTTTGTGGGCAATTTGATCCAATTTGGTTTTTTTTTTCATTTCCTGCAAATCAGAGAAGATCCTTTCTGTGAACAGATCTCATTTTGCCTTCTTGAGCTTTGGTTTTCAGCAGCCAGCAATAATCTTTGTTCTCCAATGCTTTTCTTACATGGATGGTGTGAAATGTTTAGCTTGCTGAATTATCTGAAAGGAACTACCAATTTGGGGGCTTTTTCTCATCTCTTTCCTGTGCATGATGCAGTTTAGTCCTCAATGCTATTGTGCTGATACAGCATCCAATGTGTTATATAACGTTGCTGTTTCCAAATCAACCCCGAATATTATCATTTATTGCCACAGCTGCTGGTGTTACTCAGCGCTAAGCGCAGCCCAGCGCGTTGCTTATCCTTCAGCTCAGCACATGACACGTTGCAAGGGCAGTTGACCTTTTCTGCCATGCTCCTTTTTTTAATGTTTTCCTTTTAATCTGACCCCCAGGAATGTGTCAGAGAAGTGACTCCCGCACGGCAGGATGAGGACGAGGTCCGGGAGCAGCCCACGCTCTTCATCAAACCCGGACCTGGCTCCCCTTCTTGGCACAGTGCAGAGGCAGCCTAGAGACCTTGCTAGCCAAAAAGTCAAATGTAGAGAATTAATACAAGGAGAGAACGTAAAGAATTAATACAATATAATCCCCGAGCCAGGGGCTAGGGATCCACTTTGAACTTAAGCCAGTCTAAAGTGTAGTTAAGTCCCATTTATGTCTGCTGCATTTTGGGAACCTGCCCATGCTCTGATTGTCAATATAGAGAATTATTATCATAAAAAAATAATCACTGTAAGCAAATGACTCCTAAAGCAACCTGTTCTCCCCCCGAAAACCCTGGGGCATTGCTGTGAGATGGGCTCTGGAAAGGCTGGACAGCTTCTCCCATCACAACAGTCCACTGAAATGACATTTTTCCTGCATTTTGTTCTGACCCTGGTCACAGTCTCAGGTATTTGCACGTGGGCTGACAATTAATGCTAAACAGTAAAGAGATCAGCTGAATATACAAATAGGCAATTTTGAAATTTGCTAATATAATTACAATTATACCTCCAAATGGGCAAATGAATTGCTTTAAGAGCACTGAAGCTGAGCATACAGGAGTGTATATGCTCATTTATTCTTGCCTAAGGCTCTTCGGAAGGTCTTGTACCAACACGCACTGCAATTTTCTTCTTGGGGCACACGATATGTATCCAAATTGCAACATTTTGTGCTCATAAAATTAAAGCTTATTATGTAGATTATGCCTGACAAAATGCACGCAAATGTCAAGGTTCTCCTTGCAACCCTGTTCATACGGCTCAGTTCCACTCTCAGCATTCCCTAAACTTTGACTCCCAACTCGGCTGCAGGTGGATTTCTTACCCAGGCCCTGCAGTTGCTTTGGTTTTCTAGCTCGGAATACTCACAAATTTGTATTTATTTCTGTGTATAATTACCACCTAGCAATGCAAGTGCATCGACAACATCGGCAGCATCACACAGTGCAGTGTCCCAGCGCGTTGTTCCTCATGTCCCCACATTTGCCCTTCGTGCACGTGGTCGGACACGGTTCTGAACTGTCTGCTCCCGCTGCGGTCCCTCTTTCCTGGACTTTTCCAAGTTATATTCTGCTTTGCTCTCACATCTCTCTGTTTCTGTGGATTTTCTTCTGTAAGACCAGAGACATGGGAGTTAAGTAGCTGTCTGGGCAAAAAACTGGGAGAGATTTGTGGTTTTGGGATGCAGAGTTAAGGAGAGGAGCCAGAGCCTCCCAGAGCTGCTCTTGTAGCGCGGGGAGCAAGTTGTGACACAGACAAACTGCTCCCTTAAATAACCCACGTGCGTCCCCTCCTCGTTGGCCTCCCAGATCTTGCTATGAGCGCAGGGGGAAGGGGATGGCTTGTAAATCCCCTTGGAAAAACCACGGAGCAGAAACTCGGGAGGAGGCCTGGGAAGCTGCTCGGCCGGGGAAGGCGCTCGGGCTTGGTCCTTGCTCCAATCCTGCACACACAGAGCGAGGAAGGGGGGCTAAAGCCTGCAGGAGGACCAGAATAAGCAAAATAAGCAGGAAAAGTGGTTTTGTGGGTTAGGCAACGATACGGAGGCAGGTGCGATGTGGCACTGCCCAGATCTAAACGTGCAGGGGGTGTTTTGGCAATAGGAGGGAGCTGGGGGTTCCTGCAAGGAGCCCCACGGCCCCTGCCACTGT